ATCAGCCTCAGTGTGGTGAGGAAGCAAGCGGGTCGAATGAAACAGCACTTCGCGGCTTTGACGGACAACTCCCGTGTTCGTGCTCCGACGAAAGTAAACAACTTCACAACGGGTGGCCCGAGAGTGTTTAGGTGTAATGCTGCATCATGGTGACAGAGTCAAGTGCAAGAAAGCAATTAGTGGGATGGTGGGAGAGAAAATGAAAGGGAGGGTGAACAAGAAGGAAGAAAGCTGAAAGGAAGAACGCCGTTGCATGTGTTTCAAGTTTTGTGTGTATAGTGTATACAACATGTCATGGTTTTGACTCCTGCGGAGGTGCATGAAGTGTTGCACGTCTCAGAGACTCCCGTTTGATGCGTTTTACTCCGTTTGACGCGCCCGCGCGCGGCAGTGGTGCCCTTGCGCATTCATGTTGCCACTCCTCACGCTGCTGTTCCAGCAGCCACAAGGCTTGCAATGATAACCGACATTTGGCGCGAAGGGGTTTGTGAAAGGCTTGCTGCCGAGACATGCCGAGACATTGAAATCGCAGTGTTCCACGCGTTTCGCACAAAAAGGGTTGCGTTTCGTGGTGCGCGGTCTCTGACAAGAACCTTTCCCAGGCGCTTTCGCAAAATTTCGCTCCGAGCAACCCATCGTCAGAGCAAAGTGGCCATCCTTGCTTCCCAAATGTCACCAGTAGATCCAATGAGGTATCTTGAAGCGGAAGCCATCTTTCCAGAAGAAACACACCAAAGCGTGAAGTCTTGAAATGGGTCCACGCAAGCTTGCCTTTCTTAAGAAACTCCTCGTAAAACCCAGCTGATGCATGCTCTTTGAGCTGCTCGTCGTCCGTATGGCTGTCACGCTGCGACCTTGCCGAGTCGACCTCTGAACTTGGCAAGTCGACCTCTGCACTTGGCTCCTCCAGGTCCGGCACTTGCTCCGCGGTATCACTTGGTGATCGTTCTAGGAGCGCGTATGTTGCTTTTGCAGGCGCAGATGCTTTGGCTGCGCAGCATCCCATCGCCAGCGAGAATTTAGAAATTCCAAGTCATCAATTACCATAATTCATTCCTCCGGTACAGTAGTTCAAATTACAAAGCATGGTTGCACTATGCCGCGAGTTTCTGTCCAGGACATTTTTCTATGTATCTTGGCATTCAGCGGCTTACAAACTCTGGCGGGAGGAGCCGGCAAATTTGATCTGACAGCTGCATCAGGGTTGCCGGCGAAAAAACACTCGGCGCGAACAACCAGCCCTTCGAGCAATTGGTTTCTGCGTGCTGCATCCAACAAAGTTTGCCTGAAATCTTCCCACCTTGCAAAACTTCATCAGGTTGGGCTGCCTACCAGGGCAGCTGGAAAGAACATGTGTCACTTGGCATGACGGATTGCAAAGAACTGCTGAAAGGCAGATTCATGCCATCATTCAGGTTTCCCTTTGGTCTGAACCCTGTCACCAAGCCGAGCCTGCACAAAGCAGCCTCCAAGCCAAACATTCAGGCATTCAGTCACAAACCGCGATAACTTTCTCATAGACACGCAGAAACAACTTATGCGCAAACAAAAAAGTCAAAACGATGTTAACTACACCGGAAAACTTTCTGGAGCAACGTCCAGCAAGCAAGCCCTGCCATCATCATGAATCATAATGGTTAATGGACCAGGTGGGACTTCAGCGCGCGCGAAACCACTTGAAGGCCAAAGGGTTGCAGTAGGTTCTTGCTGGGGCTAATTGGTCATTGGGAGAGAGAAGAATTGGCCCGGAAGTTGCCATGAGAGGAACACGTTTGCAAAGATGTTAGTGAGGCTGGTTGCCTTTGAGGGCTTTCAGCCAAGGGCTACTCAAGATTCTGACGTCAAGAAGGCCAAAAGGGGACACATGTGTTTCGAAGGAGGCTATGTGCACCAAGAGCCCAATGAAATGTGGACTGGTGCTATGACTATGATTTTCATAGATATGGGCATACTCTACAACACAACAGCCATCAACAGCCCAACTTCCCTTGTGGTAAAACCTGACCTCTTCGAAACACATTGTGCTTTCCACTCTCCCGCCTCATGTTGGGTGGTTGCCTTGGCAACACTTTGATGGTGACTCATGTCGGGAAAAAGGGAGGTTTCAACATGTTTCAACTTCATTCCGGTAAATAGGTCAAGTTGCGTAGTTAAATATTCCATTGCAAACGGAATGCCTCAGCTCTAGCCACTGTCTTAGCCACTAGTAGTGTCTTTCTGTAGCCAAACTTCCAGCAGTACTCAAGGCCGGAACTAGAAAGGCCACTTCTAGCCAACTGCTTCCCACTTGGCCAAGGTGCTGTGCTGGAGAAGTTGGCTGTAACCTGGTGGATCAGCAGCGACATCTCACCGGAAGAACACTGCTCGTTTGCGCTTCTTTCAACTTCCCCAGCTCCCCACATGAGACAGGCTTTGCCACAACGCCCAATTGAAAGAACGATCTCGGGCCCGGCAACAAATACACCGGGTTGGCCAGGTGGCGGAAGGTTGAACAGCAGCCACCACCACCACAACCAGCATCGGTTCTCCGAGCGTCCACGGTAACGTTTGGCATTGCTTGCGCGGTTTGGGGCTGGGTTTGAGTGGCTTCGAACCTAGAAACCTTAAACTTGGTGACTTGAATGCAGAGGTTTTTGTTTGGCGCCAGTTTTTGCCCTTGCCGGTCTGGCCATATGCAATTGACGCGTTGTGCTCCAACTGGCCAACTGCGTGTCCCTGTCACGAAAGAAAAGCCACCTCACGCGCTTAGCGTGTCCCTGTCACGAAACGGAGGGTTGTAGAGAACTCTGGCAACCAAACTTCTAAAATTGCCAACCGTACGACATACAGCAGCAACCCAAACCGTAGCCAACCTCAGGCGAAGCCTCAAAGGTCCATATGGTCCATGGAATTGTGGCTTTACTGTGATGGTTTTGAACATTTTTTGGCCTACGCGCGCATAGTTTGAAGTATCCGATCCTCACGTTCAGCCTGGGCTTCTATATGGGCTGGTGATAGTGTCCTAGTCAAACAACATCTGAGGAATAAGCGGCAGTTGACAGCGATTTTCAACAAACGAATTGTACAATTTTCGACCTGAAATGAGTTTCTCTACACCTCAAGCAACCAATCTCAGTTTCACAGCTTTCCTCACTGGAAGAGCGCAAATCTATCACCTCCTACGTACTCCAATCCAACTAGCTGTTTCAATCGGAAATCCTTACTTGAGTAGAGAGATAGATAGATATTCGCAATCTGATATGGAGAAGACGTCGGTTTTGACATGCACACCAAATGCCATCACGGCCAAGTCACTGAGAGTGGATGGGGAGGCGCCCGATCCTCCACCTGGGAGCTGGGAGGTCAGTCGAGTCATCGCCAGTAGATGTTTGATCAGGGCACTTGACGATCGATATCTCAGGTGCTTAAAGATCTGACAAGTCAGCAACAAATTGTCAGTCTGAAACGAGCACGAACTGGTCTTGACATGTCTTGACCCAATCCCTCCTTGAGTGTTATCTTTGTCTCTCTTGATTCTCTCCTCCTTTCGAATGAAAAGGTCAACTTCTGGGTCGGTGTGCGGCAGGCCTCCTTCCAAACAAGTCCTTTCGCACACATCTTCTCGTTGACAGCGTTTAACATCTTCTCTCCTCCGATCCCATCCGAGGCCCGGAGCTCCACACCGTTAGGCGCAGCCGAATCGTGGCTCCGCCGCAGACGCCACCGCCTGCAGCGCTCTGCGAACTTCCCGGTCCGCCGGCAAAGAGGACGCATCCGGCACTCAACACCCATCTTGGAAACTCAAACACGTTGCTATCTCAGCTGCATCATTTCCGAAATGGTTCCGCAACTTGAGCATGTTAAGGCTTGCTGGAAGCCCGGAGGCCAATTAGATTTGGATTTGTTTGAATGCTTTTGGCCAGGGTGGGGTTTCTATCTAGTGTTTGTCCAAGTTGGTCCATGGTTGCGAGGACTTCCTGCCTCTAAGTCCCAAGTTGTTTGGGCTCCACACCACGCAAAGTGCTGCTGCAGTTGTGGAAGGCCAATCATGCCTTTCACCTGCCGCAAAGTGCCTTTCACAAAGAGTGCTCCCGGTCAAGATTTTGGGTACTACGTCGATGAACCCAATATCGATGGGATTCATGGATGTTTATCTCCCAAGTCATAGGTTTTGACATGTTTTGACCCATACCAAGATCTTCTGGCAGCCGCGAGAAAATGACCACACCAAAGCTTCTGGCAGAATGGTCTACCACTGGACGTTAAATACGTGATTCTTCGTTGAATTGAACGATGAAATGAGGTGGTGGAGGCCATCGCTATTAGGATGGAGGCCATCACTACTAGTAACAAGAAGCTACCAGTAGCTCCTGGCATTACTACTAGTAGCAAGGTGCCTTACTAAGATAGTTTGCTATTAGGATGGAGGCCATTACTCAAAAACACATGAACTCCCAACGCCCATGTGCATGTACTGTACTGCATCCTGCCTAGCGACAGCCTGACTAAGTCCCAAAGCGGGCACCTCCGGTCGAAAACACGTTGACATGACAGCGACTGGTTGGTAGTCCCAAGCCCACCTGAAACAGGTCGCGGTTTTCAACAAAACCTAGAAACAACATCAGCCGCGACAAAGTTGCACACGAATCGAGTGTGTGTTGATTGCGTCGACGAACATGGGGGGTTCACTGGCTCTGGATGGTCAGCGAAGCTTAATCTTCAAAACCACAGCCCTGCCCTTGGGCTTCGGCTTGGGACGGGTGGCACTGGTGGTTTTTAGGGTCAAGTGCACGAGGATGTAAACGATCTCCTGTTCTGAAGGATGATCAATTGTGCTCAACAATCTCTACCTGGGTGATTCTACGATGAGCACCTGGACTCGCTGAGCTGAAGGAAGCCACGTTGCTCCCTGCGATCGCAA